CCTCGGGATGGTAGAGCCACTGCTCCTAGTGAAGCTCTACCCTAGCTCTGGGGATAAAAGGCAGGGGGTGGAGATGAATAAATGTGACAGACAACTATTCATCTTCCGGTCAGTCGGACTTGTTAGCCTGAGACTTTTTGCCGGGGCTGCTGGCGCTCCTAATAAAGGGAACATTTATTTAACTACAGAGGGTTTGTCGTGTTTGGGGAATTGGGTCAGAACACTTGGCAATTTTAAGACTTGTGGATTTCAACTCCCAGAATTCCTCAGCCAGTCATGCTGACTCAGGAATTCTGGAAATTGAAGTTGAGTGGTTTTAAAGTTGCCAAGTTTGGAGACTCCTGAACTACAGAATCCGTGTCCGAATTGTCGATAGCAAACCGAACACCTTTCACTACGCAAACCAGTATTTCCTACTCCGATTCAGAAAGTTAGACATCAAAGGGGATGACAAGAAGTGTCTTTTTCCTACAACAGCTTGAGATCTTTCTACCTCAAGCCTCATTTAATTCTTTCAAATCTTTTGTTTTTTTCGAACGATGCTCTTTGGTTGCCTTTATCTCTTCCACTTTGGGGTCTCTTTGTCCTTGTGGAACGGATTGGAAGCAAGCTTTAGCGCTTAATACCTTCCAATCATTGTTAGAAGGATTGCGTACATTAATTAATTTTGCTTCACATTCTTTCTTACCGTCCCACCTTGGAAAAAAATCTCAAACACGCAGCACGCTTGATCCGGCCATCTTCTTCTCTCCACTAACGCAGTGGGTCTCAATGTTCCTAACACCACAACCCTTTAATACAGTTCCTCATGTTGTGGTGACCCCCAACCATAAAATTATTTTAAGTTTTCCATATTTTCTTTTGAAAATATGTGTTTTCCAATGGTCTTAGGCGACCCCTGTGAAAGGCTCCCCCCAAAGGGGTCCCCACCCACAGGTTGAGAACCACTGGTCTAATCGTTGATTCATTTCGCAGTTGATTCATTGTACAGGTTGTCCTTGACTTATGACCACAATAGAACCCCACGTTTTGGTCACTGAGCGAGAAATTTATTAAGTGAGTTTTGCCCTATTTTACTTGCCACGTTTGTTAAGTGAATTGTGGCAGTTGTTAAGCGAATCGCCTGGGTATTAAGCGAATCTTGCTTCCCCGTTGACTTCGCTCATCAGAGGATAGAGAAAGGGGATCATGTAACACATACCCCCAGATACTGCAACCGTCATAAATATGAGTCAGCAGCCAAGCACCTGAATTTTGACCACGAGACCACAGGGAAGCTGTAATGG